CAGTTTAATTACTTTACATTAACTCGACAATGGCAAAAAAATCTTACCTAATAGGATGAAAGACAATAATTAAGAGTTCTACCCGGTAGCACTTACTGGGTTATAAAAGTTTACCATTGATATATTTTGATGACCATAAATGTTATCCCATAAAGTAAATAAGAGTACTAAACTCTTGTCGGTAACCATTTTGCAACACCCGTACTTTCATGTTATAAATATTAAATGAATATTCGGGATATACCGAGAGTGACATTTGTGAAAATTACACGAATGATAACATCTAATAAATTGAAAGCTAGTGCATCCATATCATTTGACATATAATAGTGACACGTGTCACCAGGCCCGTTTCTGACATTTTTTAGGCCCTGGGCGAACATAAAAACAGGGCCCCCACTGCAAGAAACAAGACTTTTAGCAACGACTTTTGTTGTCGCTAAAAGTTCGTTTATCATTAGAAACAGTATATAACAACATGTCATCGCTATAACTTATGAAACATATAATCGTTAAAAGGCGCATATTCAAAGCTCACTTTTCTTGTAGTGACCTTCGGTAATAAATGTTTTTCATTAGTATAAAATTGAGTACAAGAAATGCTAATAATTTACTGAGTAAAAAAATCTTATTTATCTATATTRTAGATATATAAGAGAGTACTTAAATTTGCGTACTTCTTATTATGTAATTTTAAACCAAGAGTATAGAAACTATGATTGATAATTTTTTATAAAAAGTAAGAAATTTTTACTTTATAACAAGAAATATGTGTTATTTTGGTACAAAAAAAGATTTCGTGTCAATGAAATAATCATGAGGTCAATGAGAGAACAATAATAAAGAAGATTATCAAGGTTTTATAGACAAACAGACAAATGAAGATTAATAAGAATATGAAAGAAAAGATGATCCATTGAGATCTAGTAAAAATAAATAATGAATTAAACATATAATATGCAAGTTCAACAAATGATTGTTTGAGCAYTTAAATARAATCTTGTGGTGTGGTGGAATCCCAATGAAAGATACATAAGTCAAACAATTGATGAAAATATTTAAATTCCATTTTCCTTCTCTTTTTGCTCAACTAAAATAAGATGTTAATATTAAAAATTTATGGAACATGACATATATAAGAGACATTAGTAAATACATCTAGTAGAAAAAATTTATTGATTAATCACAAAACCATGAAACACGTCATAAATCATAAGAACAATAGATTAATTGTAAAAAAATAAAATAAAATATTTTATGTAGAAGCAAAAATAAATAACAATAGTCAACAAAACAATTAGAACAACATAACCAGATACCAATAGTCAATAAAAATAGAAATTGATAAAAATATCTAACAAAAATGTATAGCAATATCAAGCACATGATCTTAACGTTGAATTGKTGAAGCACGAAAATAGTCAAGCATATAGAGATAGCAATAGCCAATATCATTGGACCTTGTTGGAGATAAAAAAATTTTATACGGATAATAAACAATAGCATATAATGAATGATCAATTAATTTTTTTATTTTCTTTTCCAATGTAATTAGTTGATATATTTTTGGGCCCTTATTATCTACTAAATTATTTTTGTCTCTTATTATATGCTACAATTTTTTGGTTTCTTTAATTTATTAAATTATTTTAGACTACTATATACTTTAAGGGGAAAATTTGGGCCCCTTATCTTTTTGGGCCCTAGGCGTACGCCCGTGCCGCCCTCCCCCAGGGACGGCCCTGCGTGTCACTAAAGAATGACATGAACCACATGATCGCATCAACTATACTCAGAGCTAGTACATTTGTGCACTTATGACATGCAATAGTGACAACCAACATAAAAGCATGACACAACAGTATTAAAACGTACCGAGAGTTGGTGCATCCTGGTGATACTGACACTTTCACAGTCAGAGGGCATTATAGCCAACATGCACTGAAGCATAAAAAAGTTGTTTTGAGCTAGATTTATCGTTTTTTCTTCATCTTATTTATCTCTTCGTTAAAGGCGATTTTGGGGGTTAGGGAAACATTTTTCAGAGCCGTCTAAGAGCTTAAAGGCAAGGAAATCAAGTGTTGGTGGATTGGAGCTTTAAAATATCCCTTTTCGTTTTCACTGTTTTGTTTGGTCATAGGTTTTAGCCAAAACATAGCATTGTGAGTTTATTCTACACATTTCTAAAACCATAAACATGTCCAAGCGTAAATATTTTAGTCTTTCAAACTTTCCTTTTTATACATTTCATGCTTTTAGTGGATTTTTTGGACCATTTAGGTCAAGTTTCGGAAGATCTGGGAAGTTTGTACATTTTGACAAATTAAACATGGGAAAATCACTTTTATATGTTACGAGAATGATTTGGTGTAAAGTTATAAAGTGTTTTGGAACCCAAAATCAATAATTTTAGCATGACTTGGGTTCATCGATAAAATTGGAATATTTTCCTTCTTGAGCACTTTTTGTGCATAAAATTTGATGTGTTCGATATGGTTTGGCATATATCGAAGTTACCGAGTATAAAACTGTAATACAATTGATCCATATCATACGAGTTTGTCTTGAAATGGGACAATCTTTTTGGTATTGTAGCTAGAAATAAACACTGGGTCATTTAAGGCATTATGGTGCATGCTCTTGAAGTCGAACATCGGTCATTGACCATACAATATAATTTTTAGTAAACGAACATATCTAGGATCATTGGGGTCGTTATGCCATGAACCGTGCAAGGTTGAATGAGATGACCATTGATCCGTAGTGGGGCTCATTGACATAAATATGTAGCTTACATTTGTGTCCATCTCTATCAATGGAGAATTGAGTCTCTCTCGTCATCGCAACATGTGTTTTGTCTTTATAGTCTTATAAGTGAAATATTTGGATTATTGGACTTAAAGTCTATATTTTCGGGTTTCATGTTTATTAACTCTGTTTATAAATTGTTTGATCAAACTAAGGGGCTGTTTACCAAATTTTTTATTAAGTCCTGTATGGATAAATTTGTCTGTCTAGATAAATGAGTGTTGTTGTTTATCTTTTTTATTTGAATCAATGGTCTGAATAACTTAAATAACCGATTTACCCCCCAATATTAATTATTTGAACATCAACAAAAAAAAATCATAAAGAGGCCGACGATGGGGTGTCTCATCTTGGAAGGAGGCGGTGTTTTAAATAAGGGGTAGGGGTGTTATTTTTGTAGTTGAATGGGGACAACACATCATTTATATATGTGTGATTAAGCCATGTTATGTGCGAATAAGCCGTAAGGGTGCGTTTGGTACACTGAACAGGGACAACACATAATATGACAGAGATCTCTGTCCCATGTTTGACATGAATTTTATGTGGAACAGACTGGAACAGACCTGTTCCACCCCTATCCCATGGAACAGGGTGGAACAAGGTGGAACAGACTTATATTTTACTAATATAACCTCAAAATAAAACTTAATTTTCTTCTAAAACATCAAATAGATATCTCTTTTACATTTTATTCATTCTTTAAATTTTATTTATTGTATTTATGTTTCTTAAACTTTCATTTTACTGTCCTCAAAATATTATTTTTATATGGTTTATATATTTTTATTAATTTATGTAATTTATTATATATTAATAATAAAAAATAATGTAGAAAATAGATAAAAATAAAAATAGAAAATCACATAAACTTTTTATTTTGTGTCATTTTAATTGTTTTGATGAAAACTTCAAATGATATATTTTGTTATAAAAAATAATTATTCTATTATAATTTAATAAATTACATAAATTGTTTTCTTGATTTTATCACCGTCAAACATATTGCGTAAGGTTCACACATGTAATTTGTTGTTTTCGATGAGTTTTGTATGTTTTCACTTGATCAAAGTAGTAAATATTCGATTTAGATCTTACAGGAGTGATTGTACAAGTGATACGTGAATTATTTTGTTTTCTGGAAACCAATTTTTGTGAATGTGATGATACTATATGAGATCACTAGCCAAATTGTTTTCTTGATGCTTATTTGATATTTAATCAATTTYAATTGATTGTGCGCTTGTTGGTAATAGTTTTTTCTTCTTAGTATGAAATGCATATAGATTTGTTTAGATAATGAATTCTTGATGCATATATTATATTTACCTTTTGCATATATCATTAATTGATTATGAAATCATGTATTTTTGGAAGTAGTAATGGTTTGATGTAAGTTATACTTTGCACAACGTATTTGTTAACATTTATATTGATTATTCAGTGAAAAAAACACTAAACAGTTCACGGGGGGTAAATTGGTTATTTTAACCAGTTCTGTCCAGTCATTTCATGTTTTACCAAACGCTGAACAACTGTCCTCTCCTGTTATGTCATGTCCTGTCTGCGTACCAAACGCACCCTAAGTAAACAACCCAAATGAGTTGTGCGAATAAGTCAGATAAACCAATAAGCCTAGTTAAACCGCAAGTAAACAACCCCTAAGCGTTAAGTCTAACATCATTTTCTTAAAATTACATTTATATCAATATCTCTTGATGGCGTGGCCTCAAATACTTAATTACCGTGTTAAAAAAAAATTCAAAATATGATTAAGATAATCATTGAGTTTTAACAGAATACTTAATTATTGTATTAAAAAAACATTTTATTAAATCAAATATAATTTAGTTCGTTTTTAAACTTCAATTTTATTATAATAAAAAAATAAATTAAAGAAATTAAATAATAATGAGAACTTTTAAATAGTTAAATAGTTAATTTGATATTAATATCATTTATTTTTTTCAAAATTTTATAATATATTCAAATTTATATTCAATTCAAAGATATATCTCGTTGTATTAAGTAGGTATCATTGTAGTTTTAATAATTAATTTTTTTTAATTTGATTATTTTTAATGAGGAAGGGGGTGTGGTATTCTGGCAGTGGGTATGGACCAAAAAAGGTTTTATCTGAATTATTAACCATTGCTTTCTTACTATTCCAAAAACTCCACCCAAAGCTGCTTCGATCACACTGATTTCATCAATGGCAACCAATACTGATGTTATCGGAGCCGATGCCGGCGACCTGGAACTTGAAGCCATGAGAAAAGATGACTGTTCTTGGCACCCTTGCCAGGTTCATTTCAGGTCAGACTTTCAATGTGTTTGATTTGATTTTCATTTCCCATGTACTGATTGCAATCGATTTTGCGAACTCGGATGATCTTCTTAGTTGGAAAACCGTCAAGGATAATCCTGATTGATTTGTACTTCTTAATGATCAACTTATATCAGTTTGTTTCGTGTTTTTGGTAATGTTTACTGGATGCTTGTGGCTCRGTCTGATTTGACATGGATAATCCATGCAATCTGTTGGAGTCTGGAATTCTGGAAACTAAATCCAAGTTCACTGCCCGATTAAGGAACTGCCATAGAGGGTTATTACTTTCCAATTCTAAATGCAGGATGGGATGTCTGGTTTGTTATTACTTTCCAATTTCTAAATGCAGGATGGGATATCTGGTTACTTTAAAAAGCAAAATCCTGTAAGTGAATGTTTGTGGATGACACCTCTTTGAAAGGAAAGAGGGTCTGTCTAACTATTCATAGGATTATTGTTCTAAGGGTTTTGACTTTGAGTGTAACAATCTAAAATCAGAAGAAGTCTTACCAAATATTGATTTGATAGGTTACTGAGTTTTGATGTCAATCTAGTTGTGCTGGATTATCTGATCTTTGGGATCAGGAATCATTTCTATCTGATCATATAAGCCTTGTTAATCATCAATGTGCTCATCATCGTCATCCACTATTTTCATGAGATACCTACTCATACTAAACTTTCTCGCCACAACTCCACTGACTTCCATCAAACCCATTACTAATGGCCTCAATTTCTTCAATGAATGCTTCTTGAACAGCATTCACTTTATGGTCGCCAGGATCTTGCAAGGTGTAAGGGTTTCCCTAGCTCTACCAAGTACCAAATGTTCCTAAAACCTTTGTTGCCTTCGGTGAGCCGACTGTGCAACTGGATCCCCGTACATGGAATTAACAATGTATGGTATAACATGGTGCCAACCCAAAAGCTCGTGTTGCGTGCTGCATTTCATCTTCATGAACCTTGAACATATATCTATCGTGCGTGTATGTACCACACACATACACACACCCTAAAAGCATAAAATGAATCACAGGTCATTTTACATCCAATATAGAGTGACGGAACTAAAATCAGATAAACAACAAGTTCCCTGTAAAGATACAAAAACACCGATGTTTATATCTGTATACTCAACACACAATTGGATCAAGCATCGTTACTCAAATATGTTATGTAATATGTGTTGATAAAATAACATTAAACATCATTAGTTTGCCATCTTGGATTCATTGACTACCAGGCTTTCTATTTCTTGGCTAGCTGTATTTGCTCCATTGGCTTTAGAGAGGCCCCTGCTTCATCGTTTCTCTAGTTCTATTATGATTGATCATCCATAGTATGATTTATAATGTTTCACCAGAAAAAAGTGTGATCTCATATTCGTATCAAAATATGTTGTGGTTTAAAAGAAAGAGCGTCGTCTTAGCCATCATAATCTGAATCTCTTCAGATGGTGCATCTATCCATACTTGTTTCACATTGTGAATCAATCTCTTATAGCCCTCTTTAGGGTTGCTTGACGTGGTGTATTTTAGCGAAGACTAATTCGACATCCATCTGGTTCAAATCAACATGAAAGATCAAATCAATATTGGTAGTCACAATTGGAGGACACCTGTGTATTTATCATCAACCTGCATTTATGCTAACTATGTGTTTTAAGGTAATAATGATATAAACGCACCAAATAATAATAAACAGATGTAAATGTCTGTTCCAGGGCTTTTATTTAAGTTCTCATTCTTAAATTAGATCTAAGGAAAAGAAAAGGATCAACATGGTACTATTCTAAAAGTTCATGAGGTTTTATTTCATTTAATATTTTAAACTACATGAAGCAGTTCCTGTATGGAAGTATAACTTGATCTCAACAAGAGGACAACAAAGAAGATAGTTTAGTTGTTTGTGTGGAACGTGAATGATATTGTGAAGACATGGGATTACACTGAAGGCATAGTTGAGCTAAAGAACATTTGGACATAGTTTCAACTTGCAAGCCTTGGCAGACTTATGTGTTTTCTCGGGATTGAGTAGTCACAGTCTCCATAGGGAATTTTTCTTTTTGATGAGAAGATGTCATGGATCCTTCACCCATTCTGTACCAAAAATTGTTATACGCAGACTGAAAGCCTCTCAATAGAAGTAAAGTGCTGATAAGCTTAACTATTTGAAAATTACACATTCAGCATCACTCACTATGAATGTAGGTAGTAATTCACACTTGTTTCCATCTTTGTATCTGGTATCTACTGGGTGCTTGAATAAGACATATCTTGTATTCATAGCAGGGAGAATGTAGAGTGGGAGCCTCGATAGGTAGGGGCTTGACAGGTGCTGCTAACTTGGCAGAATGTTGAATTACTCACAAGTTCCATGACTGGGTATCTTATTTAGGAAACCTCGTCTCATGGAAGAGTAAAAAAACAATCAGTAGTTATTCACCCTAGTACGGAGTCGATGCATCGTGCTATGATGATTTCTCACAGGACGTTGATAAGACACCTTCTAGAGTAGTTCTGTCAAAAAGATAAATGCGATATATTATTAATCTATGGTGATCAGTTTACCGACCACATAAATAAGAATCAAGTTTTCCACAAGCTTACCAAATATGGTTGGTCGTTGGTTTATGTGTAACCATACTGTCGGAACCACTACACCGCCTCCTGCCATAGGATGTGTTCATATTCACATTTGCTGCCCAACTGACATTTTGATAAAGAAGGTTTGAGTTGTTTTTTGTTTGTGGCAAGTTGGCTATGACAAATATTTTATGCTCCAACATAAAGATGGTTAGTAGTAGCAGGGTTTCCTAATGCTTGTATATTAAGTCTCACTGGTCCACCAATGTGCTCTTTTTCAGGTTCCCCTCAGCAAGAAACATATTTTTTAGCTCTAAATGTTTACATTACTAAAAAAAGTTTACGAGAAAGATTAAGTTGTCTCAGGAGTCTGCATTTTTCATAATTATGACATTTGAATACACAAGGGCACTAACTGCCATGCGTCTGACKCATCTCTAAGTATCAGATTCCACAGATTTTTTTTGGCTTAGTGGTATATTTTTAAGGGCATCTCATTATCCTAACATGTGTTTATACCTGTCTGATTGTGATAATGTGACTTCTCTTATTTGCAGCCCAGATGATGCTTCTCTTGTTATAAAATATGGGAACGACCGTTTCCAAGACACATTGGTGAGTGAAAAAGAAGCACTGATGCGAATTCGTGTTCGTTCTCTTCCTCTCCAAGATGATGACTGCATTCACATCAAACCAGGTGAGCATGTTGTTGTCAACCGAAACTCACAACCCGAGGGAGGCTTCTTCGACGCAGAGGTTGAAAAGGTATATTTTCTTGAACTTGGTTTCACTTATAAAATGTTTAAAACATGTTGTAGGTAGGATGTAGAGTGTTCTGGAGATCTGATCATGAGAAACTGATTGAAGTTGAAACTGTGATTATTACCAAGTTGCCACGGGTTACTTTCAAGAACTAAATGCCATATTTGATGCAGTAAACCAATTTTATAGAGGTAACTTAGGACTGTTCTGGTTACCCATGTACCCGCATTACAGCCATCTGCATGGCATCAGTACGTTCTTTTGAGAAATGGCCATGATATGAGCTAATAATCTTTGTATCTGAATTGGAGGAAGATCTATTTTTGTGAAGAACTAACAAGAATCATGATGAAATGAATTAAATCAGTGATGATCTAACCTAGTTGCTTTTGATGAAATGAATGATGAATTTTGTGTTTGTAGTTGCAACGATAATATTTCACATTATTTAGCCTTTGTGAATACGAACTTATATGTATTATTGATGCTTCAATGAGATAAAAAGAATTCGTATGGGAAGTTAAGCAAAGTTAAAAAAACAAGAATTTGCTTCAAGTAAAATATTCGTAGGTCTAATACTATTGCCGATCTTTATTTGTTATCCTCATATATAATTATACTGTATATGCGAACCCATATGAATGATCTGTAACGTTGGTTCACATATGCATCTGCAACCAAGTCCCTGGTGTAATATCAATCTGCTTGTTGTTACTTATACAATTAGACTGTTTCCCTCAATTGGTATACATTGATTTCTACTTTTCACATATCTAAAGTCCTCACTTAGAAAACATGGGCGCGGGTGCATTTATCGTGTGTGTCTCTGGTATTTTCAAATATAGTAAAATTTGGATGCAGCATACTGCGTGCATATTTGTATGTTTGTGTGCATTGTGTGTACACATGTATGGGGAATAGATGCCTAGATGGTCAAAGGTCCACTGCACAAGGAATTACTCAATTCATGCATGAAATAGTTGTACCATGTGTCCATGTGCTGAGACATGTTTTGGAACTTGTACATTTTGAGATTTTTGTTTAAAGTTTGTGCCATAATATTTCGCGATACACAAACACATATATACGTACATAGATGCATGCAGACAGATATAGACACACCAAAATAGACAAATAACTTAACAAAGAAACATCATCAATGTATATAAATCCATACTAATAGTGCATCGAAGTACTTGTTGATCAAACTCTGCTGGAAAGCCATGTTCTATGAACACACAAACAGGAAAGTTAAACTATCTCGAAAAGTCAACAAGAAACAACAAGCTGTTGGTGATTTTACTGTGATCTGCCATTTGGCGTAATTGAGATTTACATGAGACTGAAGGGGTTTTGGTTAAACTATAATACGAGTTAGGAGGTGCGGAGAGCACACTTGTATAAGCTAACTTGAATCCGGGATCACCGATAGCTGGGTTCAAGGGCCAGCACCCCGAAACATAAACGGTTTGCATAAGGAGCTGACACTGAAGTTGTTGGCTTCAGCTTCAGTGTCTACCTGATAAGCGATGATGCTGATCAGTGAGACACTCACTGATGCTGATAGGTGAGTGTCCTTAACTGCCTTATAACCGCTGGTAACTTTAGGTATCCAGTATCCACATACCTATAAAGAGTTTTCAGTCTCGTTTTTACATATGAACAAAACAAGATCTATGTGTTTTCCTATCATTTTGTCTAAAAACTGAAGTGCATTTTTGGATTATTACAAAGTAAACTTCGTGTAAACCACGGTATTTATAGGGTCGAAATATTGCTTTTGGAACGTGTATTTCACACGATCCAAAAATCAATCCAAGTTGATACGGATTTATCATGGAATCCTAAATTCTAACACAAGCAAAGGAGGCACAGAATGGAAACAGGCAGAGAAGATGATCACATATGAATTGGGCAATGAAGAGGAGAAAAAGAGAGTGATGTGCAAAATAAAACATCGAAACCATAATTATTTTAACAGTAGGAGTGTATAAATTTCATGTTTTTATAACCGTACATATTAGAAATATTTGAACTCCTTATTTCATTATTGGATGTGGAAGCCTCAACACAAGAACTTAGTATAGCAAAAAAAAGCCGACCCCCAAACATTAAGAAGTCAAGCTGCACCAAAATTTAGCTAAGTTGTGTCCAAGTGATCCTTTTAGTTGTTAATAAGGGGGTGCTTACCCGGTGCCTACCGCACCGAAACCGCACCTGGTGCAGACACAACACTCTTGACAAGTGGCGGTGCTTCATAGGTCCTTACTCTATTAGATTGTTGCTTCTTGCTCGACAGATGTTCGTGTTTGTAATGTTACTTACTAAATGTCTGAGTGGTTACAAGATATTTTCCTGCAAGTATTAGCGGAAAACCATGAAAATTGTTTTAAGTAGTCCCTCAACCTTTTAAACTATATACTTATAAGAAGTCTTGATATTTACTGAATCACCTACTAATTTGCTGTAACCAGCAGCAATAGCAGTCTGCTGTAGGTCTCTGATTTCTTATTCTCTAATGCTGATTGTAGATGCMCTCCAGAATCCTCAACACCTTAATACTTGCTCCGTTCCAAGAAACATGAGCCACACCTATATTCGACTTCCAAACTAGTATGTATTTGCCAAAAAAAAAAAAGAAATATGAAGGACTCGCATACCGGATACAGATATTGCAATTTTCTTTGGTGAGGGAATGTGAACGAGTGTGCATCATTATGCTATTGCATGCACTTGCAGGCAGTGTAAAACTTTATAACATTCTACCGTGGTCTAGTTACACAAGTGCTACTGCATTTGATTGTTTTGTAATCATTCATAATCTAATCATCTACGCCATTAACAGGTACTAAGGGTAAGACATTCAAAGAGGATGCAGTGTAGATGTACTTTCATGATTAGATGGCTTCACCAAGACCTCAATGGTGGAAGTTTAACAGTTCCATCTATTTCAGTAATGAGACTGGCTAACAAAAGCATCAATAATCATCCAACAATTTCGGCATTCATGGATGAAATGCTGCTGATTAACTCTAATTTCTCCAGTATGTCTCCAGAGCTGACTGTTGTCAATGCAATTGATCTGGAATTCCAAGATTTATTAGAGAAACAAATAGAAGGAATCAGAAACTCAGTTCATTGTTCCAAGAAGAAAATTAGAGATGAGATTTTGGGGTTAGAAGGTAAACTCCATAACCAACAATGTGTTTAAGTTCTCATACCTTTCTAAAGTTTTGGTTGCTATGTGTAGATGACTATGGCAGAAATGATGTGCAATTATGATGAAACATATATAACATTACATAGACTGCTCCACAAGGTGCAGCATAGATGCAAGTCTTGCCCAACTTGTTACATATTATGTCTATAGGGTCTTCTGTACAGGCTTTATTAGGATGTGAATATGAACTGGCTAGTTGGATGGAGATTCTGAAGCCAACCTTACCAAATATTTATGCACCGGGATGACAATCAACCTCTATATATTTGGTACACTTATGGAAATCTGGTTCTTTAGAGTCAAATCAACATGTCAGCCACAGGTCCTAGTGCATATTAGGCATCTAGTCCATATGATCAAACATAATGAAAAACACAATAATTGGTGCCATTGGGTCATTAGTCATTGTGCCAAGTCAGCATCTCAGGAGTCTCCTATCTTGCGATGCCACTCCTCTATGAAGGAATTTTGTGGTGTCACTTGTAACTTTGTGGAGCACCTTTTACATCTAATGTGGAGAAGACATAAACTGACTAATTACTGTAAAGATATATGCTATATCCGCATATGTGTAAAGTATTGAGCTTCCGAACAAGTGTCCCCCTGTCAAGGTTATTGTGAACTACACACATAGAAGGTTAAGAACATACTTTGAGAAGTTAACTTTCTCAAGATATTAAAACCTCTATTCCCCTAAAATATCAGTCTGCCAATATCTGGGACCTAGAATTGTCTCGAACTGGAACTCTTCATATTAGCTATGCTTTGAGCATAATCGACGACACAGACTAGAAAAATAATTATATCGCCTAGAGAGAGAGAAAAATAAGTATATATCATTTTAGAGGGATTCTTAGAGTGAATGTATGCTTCTAGATGGTTGTTTAGGTAGAGGGAAAGGAAAGAGATTTTAGGTTGTATATGCATCATTCCAATTTCCAAAAAGAGGAATATAGAATATTTTGAGGATAAACCTACATGAGATTGTAGGTTGTCGTGGAGAGGGAAGTTACAAACAGATGACCATATGAGATTTTCAAGACCATAACATTTTATGGAGAAGTATAATTACAATTATAGAGTGAGCAAATGAGGTAGTAGTTTGACGCTCTGAAGAACCTTTTCATCTTAATTAAAAAAATAATGCACTCCTCAAGAGTTGCTTGAACTGCTTAAAGTGTAGAATCACCCTGAGACGAGTTAGAGGTAGGCATGTGCGATATATATGCATGCGATGAACTCATAGGCCCTGAGTAAGCATATATAAGATTATGCCCTAAAGCTTTTGCTGTCTGACTTGTCATTACTGTGACTAAAATGTCAGGTTCCATCACTGACCGGGGCCCAGAGGTTACACATTACATGCCTATCATTCATCTGCTATGAACTGGAAGGGTTCTGGAACCAAAATTGTACTAGCAGAGACAATGGAATATGCGGGTTTATAGAAGATAGGTTTACGAGCAGAAAGAACCAATACGACTAAACAGTATTGCCGTTGTATTAGTCTAATACCATTGACATGTATGTTGGATTTCATTTGTTACTGTACCTTTAAAGTGCAATTCTTAAATGTCTCTGTATTTACTGGGATGTCTGTCAGAAAATTGATGGTTAGCATCTAGCAATGTTGTATCTGGACGGGTATATATATTCCGTATTTGCCCTTTGGTGTTAGGCATGGAAGGTAGCAAGCTGCTGAGGTATGTACAACTCTGGAGAGCTGGGACTACGGAGTTAGGAGAATGATAGGAAACATACTTCTGCTGTCATATATGTTGCAAGAAGCTGCACTTTCATACTCTTCTAAAAAAAACTTTAAAGTTAAATTAACTTTTAGGTTGATTTCGTCCGAATGGACTTAAGTTTTTAACGTATGTTAAATCCCATTGGATACTTACAATAGGCATTGGAAACTTCTTGTATATGGAGGTTTGTGTTATCCTGTTTCTCTTTCGTATTTTCTTGTTTGTCTATGGGGCCGTTTACCAAACTCTTACTGGATAAGCGCTTACCAGGTGTCACTTACCTTACCGGTGAGCATGGCAAGAACCTAGAATCTTACCTGGTAAGAGGCATAGCAAGGACCAAGACTCTTACCCGGTAAGTAAGGGAGATGACTCTTACTATTAAGCACTTACTAGGTAAAAGATGTTTATCGCAATCCATTTTGATGGTTTAGAATGCTACTCGATAAGGTCAGTGAGGCTTCGTGCCGGTAAACACTTACCTAGTAAGCGTTTGGTAAACGGTTCCTATGTCAATCAACCATTTCGCGTGAAAGCTTAAGCTGGTAATGGAGCCTGGAATCATTTTTAGCTTCAACAATTAACATTTTCATTTGTATACTCTTTAAGTGCTGAGGGCTACATATTTCCATTTATTTTGTGTTATAAGATGAGCTTTCGTGATGCAGTTAATACTGATGAGCAAGTAGAAGGAACAGATATTTCTGTCCCAGATGTAAGAGAGCCAGAAATTCAAAATTCTACTAAGAAGAGTCATCTGAGGAGGTCAAACTGGAGTAAGGAGGTATCACGGAGAGTTGACGTAAAAAATCCGTCATCCCCTGTGATCCCGAGTCCATCAACTGAAGAGCTTCCAGAGAACAGGTCACCTCTCAATCCTCTAGCTGCTCGTGCAGCTCTTGCTTCAATGATGTCAAAGTTGCCTCAAAGCCTTGAAATTTCCCTTAACGAGGAGGAAAGAAAAGGGTTCACTGATGAGGAAGAAGAAGTCTTGAAGTCATCTATTCTGGCTCGTTACTCTTCCTCTGGGATTAATGATTTCTTTGATAAATTATCCTCGGAAGCAGAAGTTACTACAAAACCAATTAGAATTGTGAAGAAGCCACTCTTTTCTGGAAAGAGTAAAGCAGAAGACAGTGATTTTAGTACAAATATCACACAAGTGACACAAGATAAGATGAATCCTGAAATCAGAACCAGGTTAACTCGTGCTACAGTTAAGAAGGTCAAAGGCATTCCTGATGATGATAAAAGGAGTAGCTGTGTTAATGGAAACAAATCAAGTACTGCAAGTAACAGGAGGTTTACGCGTTCGGCACTTTGCAAAGAGGGAGAACGAGTAACTATTGGGACTACAAGTGTAGTTGAAAAGCGTATGTCAACCAGGTGCAAGGAGTATATTACTTCTGACCACAAAGTTAAGGCTGATGGAAGTCATACATCAAAAGACAAGAAAACTCTTTTCACCATGCCATTGCCTGTTGCTGAGAACGAATCCAAACCAAATGCTCGACGGAAAGTCTTTTCGAAAATGGAAGAAGGAAACAAGGGACCTAAAGGCATTGAGGGAAATACTTGCACTGTGGATACTAAGAATTCTAGCAATATGAGAAGGCTCACACGCTCGATGCTTAACAAGGAGGCTGCAAATATAAAAACAGAAACCACAAAAGAATCAGGCGGTGATGAATTTCCCATAAATGAGGTATTATCTGAGGGAATTGAAGGCATTCTAGATGTCAAAATGTTGAAAACAACGAAGGCAATTAATTTGCCATTCTCCACTTATATCAGCCTGTCTCCTGCTGAGGGAAATAAGAAAAGGGCTATATCTGGTGGAGCAGACAGCAGTGAAAAAACTGACAGCAAATTTATAGATTCCAATGTTGATCTGCTTCGCACTGAGCAAAGGAACAAGAAGAGGAATACGATCGGTGGTGCTTCTGCAACCCAAGATTCGGAAGGTACATCCATTTAATTTTGTTGACACCTTTCACATATAGAGTTGGTTTCCAAGTAAGAATAGTAGTAGTTGTGAGAAGGGTAAGAAGGGATATCCACCCTTGGATCAATCCTAATTGGAGATCAATTGGAAATGCCCTTCTAATCTAATTCATGGGTTATTTTGGGACTTAATCTGAACCATTAGATCAACACTAATTAAAAGTGATCAAGGTTCCAAATCCCTTCTTACACTTCTCACCTTAACTCCTTGTCTCACACGATCCTTCGTCTTCACATATAACAGGCCAAGAAGGGTGGGAAGGGATTTGTGTAAACATCTGATTTCTGGATTCTGTTTCAGCTTTGCTGCATATCACATCACTTGCATACAATTTTAGAATTTTGTAGCATAACAGTATTAAATCAGTTCATTCTTTTTTCGTCCCAAATTCTCATATTGGCTGGAAGATCCCCATCCTGATTTCCCATGAGTTCTCATTTAGTCACAAATATGTGCAGATACAAATTCTTGTGAGAACTTTTATTTGATTTTTATTCTTACGGTCCTATGATATATGCATGGCAGAGAATGTCACAAGTGATGGTGGACACAATTATGGTTCTAAGAAGAAATCCCTCGACTTGAAGAAGCATAAGGTGCGATCTTCACCAAGGTTCCTCTCTAAGACTTGATCACAAAACCAGGCATAATCTTGCTTTTTTATTCCACTTGGTGCAAATTATTGCCTCTTTCATATCCATGCAATTTTCCTAATGTAAAAGAGGCTAATCTAGGACCCGTAATATAATATCATGGATTTATTAGAGCGAGTATATGTGATAAAAGACTGGTTTGGTGATCAACTATCTGTCTTCCTTTTCAGTCCTTTTGGCTTGTTTATCCTTGAGCATGTGAAAAAAGGGCAACACTTATGATAACAAGCTTAACTATGGAAATCCAGGAACAAGTATGCATTTAGTTATTATCTAAATACATCTAACATTATACAAACCCTGTTCCAAAATATGCTTCTTATCTCAGACTACAATCCACCCGTATACTGGAATCATTTTTCAGAGATATTACATGGGAAAGATGTGTTTTTTTGTCTAATTAGATTCAAGAGGGTATAGACACAATATTGGCTGCAAGGTTGAAACATCTTGGTTCATAGGCTAACTTCTGCAGGACTTCATCTAGGTTTCTTTTTATGACTTAATTCACTTACATTTTCTCCGTAACTATAATGAACAGACAGATCTGACTTGGGGGATGTTTGGTTGGTTTTCCACCAAGTCCTGTATGAATTGAGCTGTAAGTGTGGATTAATCTGTTTGTATATATTTGGAAGGTTTTTGTTTAAGAGGGTTTTTCATAGATGGAAGTAATGTGATATTTAATTTGGAGGGGCAGGTTTGGAAAAAAAAACTTGGCTTTCTGCATAAAGCTCTCTCAGGAAGCTTACCGGATGAGCCACTTTTATATCATTAAGCCACTACCAAACAGTCATGTATAGCTGACCAAATAAGTTGTGCGTCCTATTAAGCTAATTAAGCTGCTAACAAACAGGCTCTTAGATCTTGTGTTGTATGATAAACTAACATCCTATGCTGTCCAGAACATATGCATAGTGCATTTACTTTTTGCTTTGTTGTCTCTCTTTTCTTTAGTTTTTGTTCTTCAGTCTGCTAAAATGGAGAAGCTAGGGGATTAAAACATGCTTCCTCTTTATCATTCTCTAAACCAATTCATCACATACTTATATACAGTCTTCTAAATGCATGGTGCATAGGTCTTCTGTGAAAGAATCTCATTGTATTTTGAGACAAAAGTAAGGTCTCCATACATCTTACATCCCAGACTATATCTTCAGGTGGGTTATACTGGGTTTGTTTGATTTGGTTTAATTTAGTTTAAATGTATGATGTTTTCGATATGTCCAAGGCCATGTTTTTGGCAACCATAAACTTTCTTTTTGTTTGAGCTTATTGAAAAAGTCTTGTTTAGTTAGCCGTAAACTAACTTATAAGCTAGCTTATTGAAATGCTACTTCAAGTAGTTTTTCAATAAGCTCCTGATGCTTTTTTCTCTTCCATTTTTCGATTATGTATCTTATATTTTTCAAGTTAATTTTCAACATTTTCCTTCTCATTGTCATCTAACTTATTTCTAGTTTTTGCCAGACATGACTAGCTTATAAGTTAACAACTAGCTAATTAACTAGCATCTATTGACACCATTGATTTAAGCTCTCAAAGGTTTACCATGCCATTTAGGTGTATTTTTAATTCGTTTTCAATAAATTTGTCAGAGGTATTCTCCTCTTTTAAAATGTATTTTACTTTTTTGTTTGATAGAAAAATAATTATCTAACCAATAAGGAATAAAAATTCCCTTACGGCCACGGAGGTTCAAATGTAGCCAGGGAAAACATGTAATCTATAATTGTAACCTTGTGATCTAAGGAGTCGTTTACCAAACACTTATCCGATAAGTTTTTACCAGTAAAATTTAACACTATCACTTACTTATCGGGTAAGATTATGGTTAACAAAAATGGCATCTTATGCCTTGCTAACCATGGTAAGAGTCGTCGACCTCACTTACCGGGTATGACTTCCGATTTTTGCCTTGCTCTTACCGGGTAAGATTCTTGGTCTTTGTCATATTCATTCGAAAAGGTAATGTGACTTGGTAAGCACTTACCCGGATAAGTTTTGGTAAACGACCCCAAAATTATGTCATTTTGCCTTAAAAGATAAAACATAGTTATCATTTTCTTTCATTTAACTAAAACGAACCAAACATCTTGTTCGTGTTCATTCATTTATTAAATAGACGAACATAAGTGAGTTTCTTGCTAAACAGTTCATGGACGCTTTGTTGAGCATTCGTTTATAGCTATACATACAATTACAAACGTGCCCTGAAATGGTCTAACGTTTCGAAAATGATACAGGTGAAGAATGATTTTTCCAGAATTGAACCTAATAGAATTGAATAACAACCCAATAAGGTGATTTTCCCTCAATGGGTTCAAGTCATCATGGCATAATTTAGAAACCAGATAAAACAAAACCAGTATATTTACGACATGAGATAAAATAAATATAGAATCATAATCACCGACAACTGTAGAGGAGGATTAAAAATAAATACCAGCATACAGTAAAAGTGGGAAAAACTAAGACTTACATAAATAAAACTGAAAGGTAGGAAAAATTAAAACTAACGGAAAACTCTAGTGACTTAAGGGGTCGTTTATCAAACTATTATCAGGTAAGTGTTTACCCGTAAGAGTCACCACCTCCACTTGTCTTATCAAGTAATATTCTCGATCATTAAAATGTATTGTTTGTAAGTGTCTCTTACCCAGTAAGTTTCTAATCGAGTAAGCATCTTTTCCTTCGCTTACCGAGTTAGATTAACGGGCATTGTCATATTGACCCAATTAAGTAAGTGGCAACAAGTAAGCATTCCATAAACGACTCTCAACTGTCACGTCTCCACCCCTCCCTCCTTGGCCACCATATTGATCTAATTGTATCATGTCTAAGGGGTTGTTTACCAAAATTTATGAGTAAGCATTGATTGTGGTAAGAGATCTGATGAGTTAAGAGGTTTAACTGTCGCATGTGTTAATTGCAAATTATTGTTTACCAAGTATTTTGTATTAAACGATGACAGAATAAAAATGACCATTATACCCCTCTATAAAGTAAATGTTTAATTAAAAAAAAGTTGTTATGCATATACGAAAATATGGTGATAATACATCCCTCCAACCAATCACAACTTGATAACAATCCCTCAAAACTATTCAAACTTTAAAGCGAGTCTCACCAAAAACCACCTTGGTTATGCTTTTTCAACATAATGGTGGTGATCACCAGGTTTGAGCTTGGGCTCCAAAGGTAAAAAATGTCTGAAGGCTTCATATTCGAATTCAAGGAGGAACAAAAATCCTCTTGTGGCCATGGAGGTTCAAATGCGATGACTCTGGGTTACCTGTAAAACGGATTGTTGTCCTGAGATTGGTCTGCTTGTATAGCGGGTTGGATATCCAAGTTAATAAAAAAAAAATAGTACTCCCTCAAATCAATTTTTTGTTGCTTCTTCTTTTTAGGGTTCTTTTTATTAACCTGGATATCCAACCCACTATGCGAGCCGACTAATCCCAGGGCGACCACCTGCTTTGCAGATAGCCAGAAGTCACCGCATTTGAACCTCCATGGCCACAAGGGGATTTTTATTCCTCCTTAGATTTGAACATGTGACATCCTGATACTTTTGACCTTTGGAGCCAAGCTCAAACCAATCAGGCACCACCCTTGTGATTTTTTAGGGTTTTCTTGAAGATCAAGAAAAAGCAATCCAAGAAGTTGAATGTAAAACATGACGGATGGTTCTTGTAATTTTCTACTTGTTCCAAAGTCTTAATTGAATCAATCAAATTCATTATCTCTCTTTCGAGTTATGGATCTTCTTATCGAAATCCAGACACTTTTCTTCTCATCCTGGGATAAACTATACATACACCAACACTCGATCCTCTTTCTCGGTAGTGGCCGGCGGTGGTTCAGATCAATAGTGGTCAGTGGTAGTTCAGATCGGTGGTGATCGGCAGTGGTTCAGATTGATGGTGGTTCTGATGGACAGTGGTCGAAGGTGGTCAACGATGATCATATTGGATTTATGAGATTAGAGTATACTGGGTTAAGAGCACTATTTGGTATTATGAAAATAGAGAATTTCATTCCATTAAAATACCATGTATTGCTAAGGAATGTTAAATTCCTTTATTTGTAGAATTTTGAAGATTTCTTTTGTGAAAAAGAATGAACCAAACGAGATAATAGAATTTGGTCAATGGAATTCAACATTTCAATTCCATCAGACTCCTTTATAATCTGCGAACCAAACGCTTCCTAAATATTTTGATTTTGATTTTCAAATCAAAACTCTCAAGTCACAATTATTTATCTTCTATATTACATTTTAGGAGTTGTTTGTTTACCTCTTAATAGTTCAATTAAAAGGCAATATCTGAATCGTTAAGAGGTRAATATTATTTGGCAAAAAAAAAGTCTCTCTTAATGGTTCTAAAACCCTCTGAATGATTTTGTATCCTGGATCTCCCTTAACCATTAAGAGCCCTAATTTCATTGTACACAATTATCAAACAATTATATTTCACTTTGCACTATATCATGAGGGCCTCTTAATCATTCTGCACCAAACCATTCAGCAATTACCAAACAGCCCCTTATTCTCAAAACCAATAACTTGTCTACAAACTTACAGTTTTGATTGAACCACCATATATAATACCATTGAAATCAATATTGATATAGGCACTGGCATATGTACCACAAAAACAACCATAATAGAAAAACGAGTTGCATAAATATAATGGTATTCATAGATTTTACTCGGATCTTATTCAAACTCAATATCTCAAATGTCTGGATTACATTAAGACACGATCACCGTAAAAGGATCCGATCCTACATTTCTGGTGCTATCATAAAACAACCATCAGTTGGGTTGGTACTTGGGATCAGCCATCACGAAATGATATGCGATAACCAGAAAGAATATAGAGATGCCCAGAAAATTGGCAAAGAATCCCAGGTCCTGATCATCGAACATCTGTATAACAACAGCATATGTCAGAGGCCATGCCAATCATTTCACAACGTTAATCCCGTTTAAACAATTTACATGAAAAGGGGTTTATGCAGATTGGAAGCAACTCCTGTTGGAAAATGGATGTTAGATTGACTTTTGGATTTCTAAAACAACAAACGAAAACAACTCAACCGTGCTCTAACTGGAAAAATAAAGATTTTGCTAACCTAAGGAATCATCACAAACATGATTTGCAAAAAGAACACGGAATTTAGGATTTTTGACACCAGAGTCTGTAATAACTCTCATAACCTACTCCGACAAGATATGCAACTGCTTCAATTCTGAGCAGAGCTCCTTCAAGAATTTGTTGGCTTTTCGTACTGTAAATTGAATATCATCTCTCTGTTGACACCATAATTCACTTTTTAAGAGATCTTTACAAACTAAAAACTGTCCTAAGTAAGATCCTGAATGGAATAGGTTAACCAGTGAAAAAGTTCAAATGATTTTCACAACAATGAACCTTTTATCCAAATCAGTTGGGATTGGATTAAAAAGGTCTACGAGATCCTATAATATAGGATTAAAAAATGATAGCATAAGGAGGGGGGGGGGGGGGGGGGGGGGGGGCTTGGTATAAGGAAAGCAATTTGGGTATAACTACTTTTTGTGTTCACTAGTCTGCATAGTCATGTGGCTCTAACAGTTGGATCATTCTGCAAGCACTATGTCTGCCTGAAATTCACTATGAGTGGAGAGCTGGCACAAAAGCCAAGAGGTTTCATGCCGGAATATCCTGAAGAGCTCTAGACATCCTACAAATTTTTGGAGTGTCGGATTCCTTCCTTGATGAAAGCTTGTTAAGCGGCCTGGCAACACAAAATTATACGCAAGATTACTGGTATTTAATCCATTAACTACCATTCATTGTCATTCACAAGATAAAAAAATTTACACGACCCTTTAACATAAATCATATAATAGTCCTTTTGAGTATTTGATCAGCTGATTCTGTCCAACTTGCAGCATCTAATTAGCAAAAATAATGAACGACTCATCTAGAATACCCTACTTCATAAACTTTCTAGCTTCAAGCACTCAACCAGCTTGGTCGACAGTTGGAGAAACATCTACGCACATTTGTCTTCCAAGCATGTCAAGAGAAGGAAGGAGAAAGAAGAAATAGGAAGACAGAGATCATATCCTAGTAAGAAATCGGCCATGCCCACTTTGCCAAACGTAATGCAAAGTCCAAACATGCTAGACTTACGCCAAGAATAGAAACCTGTACTTAAAAGATGATCTTCATGTGATGGTTGCTCCATTTCCTGAAATAACCCGTGCATCTATAAACTCTTGCTTATAATATAGCATATGTTGACACTCTATGAGACTTTTCTTTATGCTTCTCTCACACAAACTCCATGTTAAAAGCTTCCTAGCCTTTTATCTGTATTTTATGACACTCTTCTATATGTGACTCTTACTACAACCACATGCATTGGTCAGCTTATTTGATATGCAACTCTCACCACAAACGCTAAACATTGCATATATTTGTATTTAATGGGACTGTCCTTTTCAAGCAATTCTCATCACAGCATTACAGAAAAAACATGCAACTGTTGTCAGTCTACAGACCCTTTCATCCCAAATACAAACAACATAACTTGTTACATTCATGTTGAGTTACTTGTTCTCTCATGAAGCTTCTGGTTCTTTTACCTAACTTCAAACATAACACAACTTCAGATCAAGCAAGATGTGCAAATACAATCATTTAACTTTCAGCCCTTAACATAACTTTATCTAAACAATGTCCAAACAAAAACATGAAGTATAAGTATGCCATCAAATTAAGCTGCACTTGTTCCTCTACTGACACCTATTACCTATAGTTACCATTTAGACCCTGCATTACTTGCAAGAACTTTGTGAACTCACTTCCATTTTCATCTTTGCAATCATGCTTACTCCTCTGGTACCTAGATATAACAGCTTATAAAAAGAACCGTTACTGATATTTCAATGTAAACTCTCTCTACATCTCCTTATCTCAAAACCCTAGATCTATCAGAAATTTCATCGCACTTACTCCCAAAACCTTAAATCCATCCCCAATTGCATGACAGCTTACAAATCATATGCATTAAACCCATCATGATATGCATCTGTAATACTTAACTATATTAACTAAACATTCAAATGCAAACATGTCGAGATAAATAAATAGTAGAACGCGATCATCATAACCGTAAAAATATCTATTAAATGCAATAAGAAGCCGTAAATCTAATCGAAAAATACAGAGATAGTTACAATCAGAAACCCTAAGTTAATCGAAATCGCAACAGGAGAAAGCCTTACATTTGCTACCTTGAAATTTGGGGAGGGTAATTCTACTCTTCACTCGGGGTGTGCTGTACGATCACCATGCCTATATACTATAGTTCCGTGCTATATATATAGATATATACAAGTGACTTACAGTTCTGGTCCCTGTGGTTTACACTATTCTCGTTTTTGGTCATTAATTTGTCATTAATTATGTTTTTGGTCACCATAATATGCCTTTGCACGGATTTGATCCCTTCTACAAATACCTATTAAAAAAAGAGCATCGAGGTAACGTTTGTTTTTTTAAAATGTGTCGAAGTCTAAAGTCTKATTTGACTTCTGATTTTTAAGAGGTGGTGCTGAAATCTCTAACCATCAGGTAAAACTTTAATTTTGTCAGTGATTCTTTTTTTTCAATTGATCACCAACTCTAATGATTTTTGAGGTTTTTCAATTGAACGTTAATGATCTGTGTAAATCTTCAACCGGCAAAAGCTTAGGCCCACATATTTGGTGATATTTTCATATGACCCATAAATTTGATTTTTTAGAGCATCTTCAAAAGCAATATTAAAATRRAAAAARTGAGGTTTTTAGCAAMTTTTTTGCTCCAACAACTATGCTATCTTGTATGTTAAAGTAGAAGAAAKAAGAGGGAGAAAGTAAAAATCTTTAAATTTAGAGAAATTTYTAAAATTKTATATTGAAGAAAGAGAAACAATATTTAATTTCTTCTCACRTGTAGGGGACACTGAAATTAAATATTTAGTAGAAAKAAATAATATTTTGTTAAATGTATTTAATATTTTAATAATATAAATTATTGTAGAGCTGCTAAAATACAACAGCGGTTAGAATTGGATGCAATTTTTTAGAGATTTTAACTTTTGACACTTTATTTTGAAAAAAAAAAAAAACTATAACATAACTATTGGAGATGCTCTTAAGTATGATATARTTTTTTTCTAAAATAGAGTAGCAAAAATTAAAATATATAAGAAAATTATATACAACTCCAACAACTGTTTATTTTAACAGTTTAAACATTAATTATATCATTAAAATATTTTTTATATTAACCATCCCAATACACTTCTAAATTTCTTTTATAAAAAAATTATAAATGTTGGAGATGTTCTTAGGGCCGCTTACAAAATACTTATCAGGTAAACACTCAACGACAAAAGTTACTACTCTTATTTACCTGTCGGATAACATTCTCGCCTTCTCGACAATCAAAATAGATTGTTTGTAAATGTCTCTTACCCGAAAAGTGCTTACCAGRTAAGAATGTTATCCCTCACTTACCGGGTAA